CCACTAGCCTCACCGCCCCCACTAGCCCCACTAGCCCCACCGCCCCCACTAGCCCCACTAGCCCCTCCTCCAGAGGATCCAAACGGTGGAGCCTTGTTCCGTACTACTAACCCCAGATCCATGGTTTTTACCTTTTCAAAGTCCACAGCCTAAAGAGGGATACAGAAGAAAAAAGTTTGAACTCAAGAGAAATGCCTTGAAATGTGGAATATTAATGGTGTGTGATTCAGCTCTATGCAGAGATAAACTAATTTCCTTTTATCAAGCTGCACTGAATCACGATCTTTGTCACCACCTGTTTCGTCTCTGGCTGATTCCTGGTTGAGACGTATTCATCCCACCTTTTATGTTGCCATTAAAATCTAATCTCTGCTGGGAATGAGTTGCCACACTAAAAGCTTAGGGCACGTATGGAAATATTGTCTGCAGAGTTTTGTGGCTGTATTCTGGGATGAAGACATGACATCATTAATAATTACCAATTAAGATTTAAAATGAAAACATTTACAGGGGTTTATTCAACCCAGTTCCACAACTCGTTTAGATAATCACATTTAACTGTAGATTAAGATAATTGTTGATTATCATCATTAAAGCCTAGTAGCATTAATCACTATTAATTTTATAAGAAGAGTTAATTTTAATAAGGATGAATTATAAATTAATAATTATTACTGATAATATTCATGCATTCAAAACATTGTGCAACCCTCTCCATGAGAAACAAAATTCGTTTGAATAGAAATTATATTTACAGTTTCTTAAAAAACACAACTGACATTCAGCTCAAGTTAGTGATAGCCATAGCAGCCAATCAGGAAGGCTAAATATTTAATTCCCAACTTATTCCGTATGTTCCTAACAGAGCACTTCGCTCTCAATCTGCAGGTTTACTAGTGGTTCCTAGAATTTCTAAAAGTAGAATGGGAGGCAGATCTTTTAGTTCTCAGGCTCCTCTCCTGTGGAACTAACTACCAGTTTTAGTCCGTGAGGCAGACACCCTGTCTACTTTTAAGGCTAGGCTTAAAACTTTCCTTTTTGATAAAGCTTCTAGTTAGAGTGGCTCAGGTTATCCTGATCTATCTCTATAGTTCTGCTGCTATAGGCTTAGACTGCTGGAGGACATAGGGACCCCTTTTTCATCACTACCACATCCTTCTATGTTTTTTTTAGATTAGAATTGATTCCTGTTGTGTCCTATTTTTGCTAGGCTTTTTCAATACTTGGGGCTTATCTGTACAGCCTTAAGTATATAATATACTAGTGTATAATAGTGCAATACCTTCTCAAGCACTAAGATGCCCTCATTGGTTTTGGGATCAGTTTTTATGCTGAAATATCCATCCTCATTCCCTTTGACAATATCAAAAACAGCCTCCCAGTTTTCCGTGTTGTCGAGGTCGTTGTCCTGTGCTTTGATCCTCATCACCTCAACACCAAATTTGTTTTCTTCAATGCTTCCTTCATACTGAAAAACACACACAGAACAATGTGATGGTTCATTCGTTTGTTCATCACAGCTTCAATGTGTGAGCAGGTCAGGGTTGCTTATCCCTTCACATCTTAAGTATGAAAGAGTCTCCCACAGTGCTGGTGACATGTCCCAAACACCACCCTCCACCCCCAATAGCAGAAGAAGTGGGTCAAAGTCAATTGGCAATGAGACAGAGCCAGGCTTCCTGTTTCTGTTATTTTTTATTCCGTTTTCTCTTGACACGTAATTGGAGGGTAGTGGCGGTCGCAGGGTTCCTGTTACCTGATTTAATGGATACCAGTTAGTATGCTGGCTGAGTGGCTGTCAAACTTTTCTCTCATCATCATCATCATCATCATCATCATCATCATCATTGATCCTATTATTTAGCTATTTTTCAGTAGATTTAAGTCCTAAAATAAATACCCAGAAATGAAAGTTGGACTCAAGCCGACCAGCAAAACCAAGTCAGTCTGGAGGAGCTTCATCAGTGGATAGAGGCAGCGTCAGTTACCCAGATTATAACATAAATATAAAGAAACCTACAAACCAAACAAGGCCTTAAAGTTAAAAAAGGAAACAGGAAGTTCAGGAGTTTGTTACTTATGCATAGTCATATCAATTCAGCTTATTTCTACAGCACACATTCTCTGAAGGCTTTTTACAGACAATTCAACCAGTTCATGCATATAGAAGCTGTAACATAGACACAGCAAACCAGTCCACCAAAGTTATGACAAACTCTTGGAAACCTCAAAGCAACATGTTCTCACTGAAACCAGACACCTACTGCAGATTTTTCCAGAGTTGGAGGATTGTCGTTGACATCGTTAAGTGTGATAGTGACGGTGCCTGTTGTAGTGTGTCCCCCTGGTGCGCCGTATAGATCTGCAGCAGTCACTGTTAGAATGTATGTATCTTCTTCCTGAAAGGAAATTAGCAGTTAGAGCCTAATGAAGACAAGTGTTTCACTCAGAGTGCTGCAGAAAGTCAAATAAACCCCGAAATCAATGCATACCAAGGGAAAAAGAGTTATTATGTGCTTTTGTGTAGTTTTTGTTAAATTTCCAGTGAATATTCTTGTTATTGTTTGCTGAGTTTTCTTGACATTTATTGTTGTAATAAATCATATTTTCTCCCTGCTATGCCTGGTCCCAGCATTCCTTCCCTCCAGCTCTCTCCACCTCTCTGCCTGAACACCTGGGCGTCCCTTTTCAGCTCAGCTGGTCTTTGCAGCAGGCTGCATGCTCCAGCCTGTCCTCTCTGGCCTGTGGGGATTAGCTATACTGTCTTCATCCTTTCTAATAACGGGATTAGGTACTTTGGTTTTCTCTTAGTCTGCTGTCGGCACTGCATAAGCAGAATTAGGTCAACGTTTCCACTGTAACTTGTGGGAGTAATTTAGGTGCTAAAGGTTTATGTTTCCAGCTGGTGTAACAGCGGCCTGATGACAGAGGAAACGCGTTCCTCCAGATATACATTCTGCTGGTTTCCTGCATCTTCGTCACTCTGACAGAAAATCACAAGTTCGTTTATGAGATATGGAAGGTCCTCTTTGAAATAGTTTGACCTTAACATTTGAAAGGGACAAATGTTTAATGTGAAGTACTGCCCTACACATAAAGCGTCACTGTGTTGCCATAGCAACGCATGCTCTTCCGTTGGAGGGATGAGGCCATTACTTCACATTTATACCCCCCACCTTCAATCTAGGCGCCTTCTACAGCAGCAAGTGAGACTTTACTGGGAGTGGCACTGATAGTTAAGGGTTAATGATTAGAGGGGGGTTTGGGATTGGGCCATTGACCATTCAGCAATCCCTCACCCTGAGCATGCATGCAGGGACAGTAGAGAGGGAAAATGCCCTTCAACAGGAAGAAATGACTCACAATTGTGGAAATCAAATGACTTGTAAACACACTAAATGCCAAAACAAAAAATGCACCCCCCCCCCCCCCCCATCTGCTCCAGCTTTAATAAATGGTGAGGTTTAGTTTGCATGTTCTTTAAATGTTTTGGTTTGTTCATCAGAATATGATCTGCTAACTCAATAAAACGCAAACAAAAAGATCTTTCTGGGCTTTTCCACTCAGTTTAGAAATAAACTACGAATCGCACTTGGTTTGAAGATGGGCTTTGTGTATGCTAACGAGTTTGTACGTCTTAATTGCTCTAAATACTGCAGTAGAGGATCTTGGTGAGAGTTCTGATCTTTTTTCAATGAAAACAGCTAATATGATGAAAGGCTATAATGTTTAGAAGAAGGAAGGAAACAGCTGGTGAAGCTCCTACTTCTCTATCCAAGTGAGGATAATCGACATAGATCAGGCCATCCTTGGTCATCTTAAAATGGTCATGTGGTTTCTGGTCTATGATGGAGTAGGCGATCTGAGCGTTGGATGTTTCTGGATCATCTGCATCACTGGCCTTGATTTGTAGGACTGAAGTCCCTGAGAAAACAGGTTCAGATGCAACAAAGTCAAAAAGATTTTCCTCCAGTTGATGTTATTTAAGCGACAACAATAACAATGAGTGAAACAATAATATGTTCAAATAGTTTGAAAGCTTATTGTTTAAAATCCTAAAAAATAAATTAAATCACAGTTAAAAACAATTAGCTTAATTGTTTTATGAGTTTAATGTTTGCCACACTGACCTTCAGGAATGCACTCATCCACCTCAGCTTTCATTGATGAATCAAACCTGGGAGGATTGTCATTGTCATCTTCAACCTTAAGTTGAAGTGTAATATTCTCATTTAATGCGCTGCCATCTTCGCGTCTGGCAAAAGCTGTGATCTAAACAAAAGATTATTCATAATGTTGTTATTTCTGTCATGTTTACATGTGTTGTGCAAACGCTGTAGGACTGAGACAGTGAGCACCTTGACCTCTGCAGCGTAACCATCGTACCAGGAGACCTGACCCTGTTTCTGAAATCTTAACACTCAAAAATTATTCTGAAACTGCAACAATTAGCAGAATTTTTATTCATTCTGGTCAGGATTCTCAGTCAACCAGGTCAGAGTTTTACTCACCCATGTACAATAGAGTAATGCATGAATTATTACACTAATTAAACTTAAATTTTAGCGCTTTTTTTATAAACTTCTATTAAAATTAAACCACTGTGAAATTCAAACAAGAACTTCAACCATGTGAGCGGTGCAAACATTAGAAAACACATGAGTTATTTTCCTCTAAGCCTGTTAAAACAGGCTTAGAGGAAAATAGCAGCTGAAATATGATCTCTATCTTTACAACAACACCTCAATAAATCATCACCTGTAGGAACAGTTTGAACACTAAAACCAACTAGCTCTATGTCATTATGGGTAAAACCACATCAATGCTGAACAGGACAAAGGCTGCAGACTTACATTGTAGACGGGAATCTGCTCCCTGTCAAGCACTTTGGTCACTCTAACAAGTCCCTTCTCATCAACCACGAACACATGGAATGGATATTGATCTGCTCCTTTGCCCTTTAATTCGTACCTGACTTTGGTTCCCTTTGGTAGATCGAATCGGATCTGAAACAGAAAAAAACCGATTAGACTACGTCGAAGAGGAGAAGTGAGAACGTTATGAAAACACAGGAGCTGGAGCGGAGCTCTCATATTGACCTTATTTATTGATTATTTGGGTCTGCTTCTGTAAGGGACCACTTTGCACTTGCCTGATCAAAATGTCTTTAAAGTCAAACATTCAGAAACATAATTTCACCAACCAGGTCAAAGTTCAGTCTCTCATGCTCCAACACATCCAGGGTTTCTCTCAGTGACATTTTCAGTGTTCCTCACCCTGGAAATATATTCCTTTTGGGTGTAGTCCACATTTTCCCTCAGTATGGTGGGAGGGATAACCCACGCTCGTTTATGCCGCAGCAGATTCACTCCAGAATGAGATCTTACCAAAACAGCAGCCTGAACCTGTGGAAACAAACAATTAGATGAAGGCAGTCGCTGTTGGGGTCGTTTTCATAAATCAGTCGGTAAGGAAAGCGTTCTCCTCATGCCCCCATCGTACCGATACGCAGATGGTGACTGAGGCCGGATCATGGTTCCTCTCTGACCTTAATCTCACTTCATATGAAGCGGTCTCTATAGTTATGCTGCTATAGGCTTAGACTTTTGG